ATACGTTTGGTGCACTTATTTTTGAAGCTCACTTAAAACACTGATGTGTCAAAAATAAACCATAAAGCATGTTCTATACACTCCATGCTAACGTAAATCCACATGTGTTCCCACTGAAAGTAATAGAAGTATGGTGACCTTTGGTGCAGGGCTGAGCTAGGAGCAGCTTAATCTGATTGATGTGTACTAGCTGTTCCAGTGACAGCCGATTCCCAAGCACCCCATCCCGCCTGTCCCTCCTGCTCCCCAGGAGGCTGTACTCACCCCAGCCATTCTGCGCCTCTCTGGGACCAGCCCAGAGGCACGGCTGAGCTCAGCCTGAGCAAGGACTATGGGGCAAAGAGCCAGAAAGGGAAGACAAGGACAGTCTCCCACTTCTTCCCTTTCTTTGATACTTCTCTCATCTAGACAGAGGGTGAGGGGAAAAAAAAAGCCAAGCTTCCTACAGCATGGGCTACTGCAAATACGAAAGTCTCACACTCGACAGATCAGCCACGCTCCTGCTGCTTGTCATCCACCCAAAGGCGGGAGAGTCCCAGCAGAGTGAGAATCAGCAATGATGGCGATTGCTGCAGGAGGGCTTGGGAACCAGTCACACTTTAAACCTAAAGATAAATCTCAGGAATGTGAAGGGGAAGGAAAGGAAAGCTGATCAAAAAACATGCAGCAGGTAGGTGAAAACAAAAGGAACTGCTATGTAAAAAGGAAGAGCTGGTGGCAGACGACATCAGAGCTGCAGAAGGCTTTCAGCCTCTTTATCTTATCCTTGCACTCCGTGATTTCTTTGTGGCTCCTTTTGCTGATATCTGAGCTCTGCCCATCACAGAAAGGCTATCATAGTTTATTGATTTATTTGTTCACAGCACAAAATTACAGCCTGGTCTGCCAGATCAAGTAGTGTCAGATGTGTTCCTAACAGCTTGGCCATGGCAGGGGTGACTTGAACTGCTTGGAAAATGTTAATTGAAAATGAGAGGTTTAAATCAGCACAAAGTAGCATGTCATGAATGGTTCTTTTAAAAACCAAACAACCCGAAAGGAACCATTGTGCCAAGCATAGCTGTATAGTGTCGCTACACCCTGTCAGTTTTACTTAATGAAACAAAAAGAGAAATGAAATTGTAGAAATTCCAATAAAAAAGCCCCCGAGACAGAACTGGAAGGCATGGCTGAGCCTGCAAATTGCAAAGCAGTTGGGGTTTCTGCTAGTTGGTGCAATGAGCACCGTGAGAGTCTCTGGCAGTAAGGAAATTCTCTGTGTGTGACACAGACCTATTGCCTGGGTTTATATTTGCAGAGGTTATTACACCCTTTCTGTCCTCCCTACTGTCCCTTTTCCTGATAATTCTGGTTTACCATGCGATACAGTGGCACTTTTAAAACTGCCCCACCACCCCATTGAGACTGGGAGAGTGTGCACCAGTTTAACAGACTTGGACCATTAGTCTGGTGCAATTTTTAATCATGCAGACAAAGCTGGCTCCGTTGGCGATGTGGAAGATCTGAAATCTCTAAATCACATGCAGCTGGGTGTTCAGAGCAGGAAAGGTCTCTTGTGGCTTTAAAATGTCAGGCTGAGACTTCATGTACGGTTAATAATAGTGTGCATTCAACTTCCCCCTTTCCTCCTGCTTTCACTTAATAATAGTTAGTACCTAGTTTTCTGCATAGCTCAATGAACTTTGCTGATGTGTTAATGGTACCAGGCTCTCTGATAACACTCTAGCCTCAAATCTCAGTATATTTCCAGAGAAAAATGGAAAAGATTGAGGAGAGACAACATTAACATCCTAAGCAGCAATTAGGGCTCTTTAGTATACCAATCAGCTCAACTTTAGAACTAGACAAAAGGCAGGTTGCTCCATCTGATGCCTGTTGATGCATGACAAAATTTTTGCACATATGAATGTGCTAAGTGAATATCAAGGGAAAAGCACAGCATCGAGAAGTGCTTGACTTTGGCATGTGTCATTTTGCAACCTTAGTGTTCCACCACTGTTGAAGCAATGTTAAGACACGTATTAAACCAACACCTATCAAACCAGAATTTTGACATTAGATATCTCTTTTGGTATTCACATCAAACTGTTTCATTAGCATGATATCAAAACAATTATGCAAAAAGGATTCTTTAATGGAGAGCTTTTATATGTCTATGCCAATGCATGCACCAATCCATGCAAATCAAAGAATAACCTATGAACTTATTTAACTGATTGCATTTGTATATATAAACCCATGTGCTTTCCCATGCTTTATATATTTATCTTTATGTTCGCCAATGATTTAAAAATATGACTGTTTTGCAAAGCGAATATAAACGTAAATCCACAGATCAGTGTGAAGCGTGAACTGTGGGTGACCACAGGAAATAAAAGCCCTCTCCCTGGACTTTGCAGACACTGTAATAGTGTCCTCGTGGACCTAAAATAGCAAAATGAACAGTAAGATGGAGTGGAGACAGATAAAATTGCTGATTCTGCAGGAACAGATTAGAATAAAAACTTCTGGCTGTTGTTTGAGAACTCTTTGCAGTGGTTTCATGGGGTATCATTCCTACATATGCTTTGATTTTTCCTATTTGAATGAAGTGCTGGAATGCATGTAGATCTACCCAAAACAGCTGGGGAACAAACTAACTGTAGCAACACGGAGCTCAGCACAGCTGCAAAACCTACCACAAAGCAGGAAAGATCACTCGTGAGGAGCTCTACACTCTCTGTATTTAGGCATTGAAGAATAATTTTAAGTAATGCAAACTAATGTGTCAGGAAACATATTCATATAGACGAGAAACTGAATTAAAGACTTTCCACTCATCTCAGACACTGTGACAATAGCACATTGCTCACAGGTTCTACAGTATCTGGAAGGGATAAAGCACGTTAAAGCAGTATAGAAACTTTTACATTTGAACAGTCTGATATGTCTTTGTTTAGTTCATATAACACTACAACTAACTTCAAAGTGGTCACAGTATTCTCATCATATAGATGCCCATCTCATCATATGTAAAAGCCCATGGGCTGGTGAAGACATTTACATATTCAATTATAGAATTTTCTTGATTGAATATCAATTATAAGCAAACAAGGATACATTTTGTGGATATGCCAATTTTAATATTTGGAATTTTGGTCTTCCATCCTACTTCAGTGTGCAGTATTTTATGTCTTATCTGCATATAGATTTTGTATATACAAAAATATATATATACATGAACCTACACAGAGGTATAGCAGAGTGTTGCTGTCTAAATGTTCACAGGGCAGGATTCAACTCACATGACTTCTGACATTTGAAAATTAGATATCCAAGCACAACTTGGGCAATTCTATTATAGCTAATGAAGAGAATATGGTGTATTTACAGGATGATATTATTTTACCTTTCCAGGTGCCTATTTTGTGATGAGATGAATTACCCTGTAGAAATGTCTATGAGTATAAAAGGCATTAGTTTTGACTGAACCACCTAAATGGTAGACATCCAAGTTAGAATCACTAAATCTCACATAAATTACTACCCCTCCCCCCCCAAAAAAGAAAAAAAAGTGTATTTCCAGCATTTGCATTCATCTGCTTTGTCAGACTGTTCATTCAATATCATTATTGTGATTATTGACTTCTTGAATGTCTGTCAGTCTCCAACTTATGACTAAGAAGTATGAGTAAATTCAAAAGCAAACATAACATTATGTGTAGAAAAAATTAAAAGGTGGTGTCCCACAATATTTCAAGAGACGTGCAAGGATTATATAAGTTTCTCTTATCTGAATTAAAATTTTGGCACCTCTGCTTTCATCAAGACTTTTATTAGATATAAAGAAAATAAAAAAGTGACAAAAGAATGACCCAAAGTACAGCATGCTGCTCAGCATCTTGTCTCATAATCACCAGTATTCACTGTTGCAGACATCAGTACATTAAAAAACCTGAACTGATTAACAAGTAACTTTATTTCTGGGTGAGTATTACAGAAATAATTAATCAATAACTTAAACCTCTATTATTGTGTGAATTTATGATCTTTTATTAGCATGTTGCTGAAAAGGGAACTATGTAGCGAATCCCTATTTAATTGTTTAAAAAAAAAAATTCCAGCAGTCATGTGATTAAGAATCCTAGCTCTTGAACTCATGTAAGTATAGAAGAATTTCATCAACCATTTAAAAATTGCTGAATTCAACCTCCATAATTGCAAAGAACATGTAGAAAGTATGGTTTCTAAAGAGTTAAAGATAACTGGGCAAGCTAATATAGTCTAAAATATAAATTGTTTAAAAATAATAATTTTTAAGGTTGATCTTAGAATTTTTGTACCCAAAAGCATTTTGTATGGTTTAGTTTGTCAGTTCTGTATGCTTGGTTAGAGTGTGAAAGTTCCTATACTTGTTTTGAAATATTTGTTTGGGTGGTAGAGTTACTTATTCATGATGAGATGAAAAGCTGTGACATGACTTCAGTGATCTATCCACTCATGCAAGTAATTCAGCATTTAAGGATCCTAATCAGTTTCATTAAAGCCAATCACAGAAATCCCTCAGACTTAGTGGTCCAGGATCACACCAGACAGCAGCAGCTGTTGAGGTGCATGTAGTGGCAGAAGCAGCGGTGCATTATCATATCAAATCACACGCAAACTTGGAAAAACTCACAGCCTCTCCTGATATTCATTTAAGGATAGTAGTCAGCAGAAAGTGGTAAAAATCACTTTGGAAGTTATAAGCTCATACAGGGAATTCCCTTTGTCCTACTTCATTCCTAAAACCAAAAGATGTACGTTATAGTCCTTTAAAATCCTAATAGAAACACTAGATTTTCTTTAAGAAATAGCTTTCCTAGGTAATACATAAGCATTGTATTGTTGCAACGTGTCTGCAAGACAATTGGAATCATCTTTCATTCTGTCATACCTTTCCTCTTTCTTCCCTCTCTCTCTCCCTCTCCCTCTTCTACCCTGTTTTACTTCTCTTCCTGCTTTCTGGTTTACCCTTTTAGCAGTACAAGATCAAGACAAGCTACAAGGCATTTGCAGCAATCCCTACAAACACATTACTTATGGAACAGAAGGTTAGTGTTTGCTCAAAGACATGGGAATTGCATTGTATATTTGAGACCATTCAACTTTATGTACATATTCTGACATTTCTGTGGGGCATATTGCAGAACATAAGCTCTGGAAACTGACTGCTCAGGATTGTAATTCCAACCATTTTTCAGGGTCAACCACTTTCCACTGAAGATCAAAGCCTTCACTAATCTGAATTTCTACAAATAAATTTACTGTGAAAAAAAAAAGTGTCCTAAAGGAATTGCCATTTATGGCAACATCTTAAAGTCTGTTTTGTTATTGGAAAGTGTCTGGAGCACTGCTGTTCTGGGACCTACCAGTCAGTAGGTCTTGGTCAGTTAATGATTATTCAGTGACTATGCTTATACTAGTGAATTTAATATCCCAAGATAGGCAAATTTGACCAGAAATATTGTAGGACACCACCTTTTAAACCGTGAGAATGGTCCTGGCCATTGCACTGGCCTCTGTTAACTACCAGTCTCCCAAACAACTTCCCTGAGCACTTCAGGAGTTAGCATGGGCCAGGGGGCTGTTCCCAGTACGTAGTTTGGGTTAACAATCCTTTTCTGTAGGGTGGGATGATACATCCAAAGAACAGTCTTTAGTGCATTTATTTACTACCAAAGACACAGTCAACAAAGGCTGGGTTGTATAGTCCTCATTTAGATAATGCAACTTTGGAAGTCAATTGAAAATTTAAATTTTGCATGAAGGGTTCAAAGTAGCCACCAATGTCTATTTTTAGATTTTTTTTTTCCCAATTTAGTTTTGCACAAAAGAATAGCCCACTAAATTTAACAAAAATTTTCTATGATGAGCAATGAGCTAAGTGTCTTATATGTTTAAAGACATGCTTAATCACTCTGACATCCAGTTTATAGCTTTATCAGGAAAATCTTTCTGTTCAGGACCTAGTTCAGGAACTTAGCCTCTGATTAATTTATGTAAGATTAAGCTTTTCTAACTACATATTTAAATATATATTCACATACACAGTTCAGTTGATTTCACTAGAAGTTTGCAGAGCCTAAAGACATTGGAGAGGGTGAACTTAACTGTGTAAAAATTTTGAAGATGATAATTTTGTCCTTGAAATTGTGATCCTTGAATTGTTATCAGTTAACTGTTATAAATAAGATTTTTTCTTCCAAAAAAGGGACATTCCTTTCTTTTCCAATGTTCTTTTAATCTTGAATTATTTTTTTAATTATTTGCATAAAACCTGATCCTTCCCTTACTTAAATCTTGAAAGTACTAATGAAGGTTGTGTCTGCTTTAGCATACAATGTGGTCCAATAGAAATGGCTCTATAGAGGAAAGTAGCTGATGCAGGGGATCCTACACCCCTACAGAACGTACTTTGGGAGGGTTTTGTGGGCAGAGTGCCTGTTAGTGGCTGGAAGCATTTGGTGGGCTCCTGAAGTGCCATTTCATGGCTAACTTCACCTGAAAGGCATCCAGTTTGTGCACTCTAGGACTGTACCACTCTGCAAACCAAGCCAGGTGGGTGACTTGGAGCAGGGTATTTACTCTAAGAGCACATTCCTGATGTGAACTAGTGGGTTAATGTCAGCCACCTGATTGCACTTTTTCAGAAGAAGGGGGATTTCTTTTGATGGTCTCGCTGATGCTCTCCAGGGCATTGACTCGCAACCTGCATGTTACTTATCCCCAATACATAAAGCTGAATTGTACAACCTAATGCAAATATCTGTAGAAAAAGTAATGACTCAAAAGATATCTGTGTTTAGATAGACTTTTGGTTATCCACCACTTCATTGAAAATGCCAGCCTTGGTGTACCCTTCAGTAGCGAAAGCACAGTCACGTAAAACTAGAAAGAAATCAATTTTCTGCTACAGGATTTGCCTTCAGGAGAGGCTCTTGACTAATTTACTTTGTAAACTGTATGTTTCAGCATGGCCTGACTACATGCTTTCTCTCGTCTTGGGAATTATGGATAATAATCTCCTATGGATCTGTACCAGCAGCTAATTACAGTGCTCCTAAGCTAGTCCTGTTGTGTTAGCTGACATGTATTTAGAGTATGGCTTTTAAAGGAAGCACGAAGGAGTCACGTGGCACACACAGGCCCCATTGTACCAAGCCCTAACATCCAAGTATTCTCCTCAAAAATATTCGGGAGGGAACCAGGAAGGAACTTATGCTACATGGTAGCACAATGACAGTAATTATGTTGCTCCCATTTTATGAAATGCATTTTAGGCATTGGATTAAAAAGAGAGAGATTCAAGACAATAAGATTGTAACTACATAAGTGATGTTTTATTAACATTAAAATAATGGTTATGTGGAGAAGAAGGTTTTGAGTGGCTTTTTTTTTTGCAAGGAAGGAATGCACATAATACCTTCAAGGCACAGATATTACTGAGCTGAATGCATGATTAGGAATACATCATCTGCCTAAAGTGCTAAAAAAGTGTTTTGCTATGCGACTGAACTCGAAATGCACATTCTCAGAAATCAACTTTTTCCACTGTGTAAGTAATTATATTACTTAATTTGAGTGGCCATGAGAAATAAGATTAATCAGAACTGTGATGTGGGTGATCCTAGTGACAATTCATATGCAGTGTTAATTAGATCCCACGATAGAAAACTGCCATTAGTATGTCATGTAAGGTAATGTCATGTAGAGTTTTCTGCCTCTAAATTGTCTCTATATGTCAAACTTTCTTTCTGAAGTCAATTTTTCTTTTATGTGTGTGTAGATGCTTTAATTTCAGACAACATTTTTCAACTTCTTCTTATGAAACCATTAGGCTATCATCATCTTAATGTTTTTTCTAGAACATGTTCTTCTTATCCTCCAATACTCTTACTCAAAGCAAGTTGTTCAAATCTGTGCTCATTAGTAGAGAAGGAAAGGCTTATTGACTATATATGTATATATACTTTGGCAACCCCAGAAGTGGCTTAATCTCATCAAATCTCTTAACTGGCATGCTTTCCAGCTGTTTGAGTTTGTATGAACCTGACGTTCCTCATATCACCTGTGCTCTGCTCAGAAAAAGCCCAAACCAGGATATCTCTTGGAAGATTGGGCTGTATCTTTCTTCACAACCAGAAGAACAAAAACTTGTATTTAAGGGACTTATCCTCAGCATTGTCAGGCTCTGTCAGGGAGCAGCAAGAACATGCTGCTCCGCAGGAAAGGTGAACCGGGAGCCGGGATGACAGCAAGGCTGGCAGGACAGTGTCTTCACCAACATTGGCACAGCTCCACAATGCCTAAGCAAGGAGAGCAGAGATGGTGATAATGAGGTCGTGGCAACCATGGTCAGTCAGCAGTGCCATCATAGCCACACAGATTGATAGCGATGAGGCAGGTCCACAAACTGTGATAATGAACTCTTCAGCCCAGCAGATGATAGGATCCACTGGCTAGAAGAGGAAGCTGGACAAGTTTAATGCAGGCATAAAGCAAAAGTTTAACAGAAAGAATTAATTAACCACTAGAAAAAAATTCCGGAGACTGAAATGGGCTCTTTATCACAGAAATTGAATAATCAAGACAGGACACTTTTCTGGCACTTCATACAGTAATTCCAGGCAGTTCTGTGGTTTAAAGAAAAGGTCAGACTAGGTGATCACTGTGGTTCTTTCTAGCCTTATTAATGTTGAGTCAGCGAGTCACCCCTCTACTGACACTCACTCTTGTATATCTTCTACAGTTATATAGATGTGATCACAGTCTAATTCAAAATTTTATTTCTAATCAGATAGTATTTAAAAAGTAATCTCTATTATTTAGAGATTGTATTTATCAAATATCTATAAAATTATCTTTCAGTCAAAATAGATAGTGATGAAGAGTTTATTTCAGGGAGCTACAGAAAAATTCTTAACTTTGAGTAGACAGTCTCTTAAACCAGATCCTACTTCATCTTCAGAATTATGTCAAATCCAACCCAAAAACTGTTGGTTGCCTTGGAATTGCAAATCAAAAAAGTCTTCTCTTAACAATTTGGTGGTCTTTGGTCTGCAGCAAGGTCTACGCAGGGGAATTTGGGTTTGCTGTTTGTCCAGATACACACTTCCTTTGCATGCCGATTGGGGGGACCTTCCCTTATCTGGGCATAGAATCATAGAATCATAGAA